GATTTTTTGAGTTCTACACGTCTAAAGTGAAGTTGTCCTCTGATATTCTGGTGACCAGAGACGTGGAGACGCTGACAGCGGCGCAATTTACGGAGAAACCTTTCTCTCAGGAGTGTGGGGTACGTGGCTTTGTCTGGTGCCGTCCTAGGTCCTGTGTGGGGTACGTCGCTTTGTCTGGTGCCGTCCTAGGTTCTGTGTGGCGTACGTCGCTTTGTCTGGTGCCGTCCTAGGTTCTGTGTGGCGTACGTCGCTTTGTCTGGTGTCGTTCTAGGTTCTGTGTGGCGTACGTGGCTTTGTCTGGTGCCGTCCTAGGTTCTGTGTGGCGTACGTGGCTTTGTCTGGTGCCGTCCTAGGTTCTGTGTGGCGTACGTGGCTTTGTCTGGTGCTGTCCTAGGTTCTGTGTGGAGGTTCCTCTTTGTTGGTAGATGAATGGCTTTGTCCTGTCCAAGGGTTTGTGAGACAAATAGAAAGCCAGGGAGGCAGGGGTAGGGCCAGAATTACTGACACAAACAACTGTAACGGATGGGGGGATGGAGGGGGGGCAGGCTGATGTAGCTTCTTTAGAGTGTCTGAAGGAAGGAATGAACCCTGATTGCCGACGTCTGCTTCTGTGAAGGTGTGGATGGTCGATATCAGACAGGATAGACCACAGATACCTTAAATATAACACAAGGCACAGAACAACCAAGGCGCCATGTTGATTAGTCGCAGCACGCCCAGTGCTGTTTCCTTTAATGAAGAGTTCACTTCAAGCATGAACAGTGGTTTCCCTTGTACGGCTCCCAACAACTTTACACCAAATATTAAATATTATGGTCCAAAATATGGTCGCTTTTAAGAACAAGCGGGCTAGCCCAGATTACGGGGATTTCCAGAAATCTTGACCTACACCAAAAGTGGACATTGCCCTACCTATAGGAGAAGTTGGGTTTCATTGGGGTGTATAAAAATGTTTGGTTATAGAGAAAACTCTCTTCTTCTAAAGAAACTGAACAAGGGGCAAAAACTTTTACCTTTGATTTTCTCAAAACTGCATATTTCGGAATAGCCCCTTTGTGCTTAAAAGCGACCTTATATACTGTTACTGCTTGAGATCTGGCACTTGATGATGATGATCTTCTTCTTCTTCTCGATCGTATCACACTTGAAGTCTGGTATCTGTCATAGATTGGACCGTCCTGCTTAGTTTATCTGTCTGCCCATATAGCTTCTCCTGTAGTGTCAGTGGGGTTGACCACGTTTCCTGTCTCAGGGCCCTGTGTGTGTGTGTCTGTGGGGTTGGCCACGTTTCCTGTCTCAGGGCCCTGTGTGTCTTGCAGTGCTGAAAGATGTGTGTGTGTGTGTGTGTGTGTGTTTCATGTCTCAGGGTCCTGTGTGTCTTGCAGTGCTGAAGGATGTGCTCAACAGTTTGGTCCGCCTCTCCACACTGGCATTTTGGTGATTGTACTAGTTAACAACATTTGAACATATATTGTCTCAGTCTTGTGTGTTGTGTCCTTAGTCTGAAGATAATCACTTGTTCTTGGCAGGACAGCTCATGGTAGCCATCTGGTGTCTGAGGTGCTTTAAATAGTGTATTTATGATAGTTTTTATTTCTGTGTAGTTAACGCTGTTGTCTGGTTGCTCTTTCTGTGCCCCTAGTTTGGCCATCCTGTCTGCCTGCTCATTTCCCAAGACACCACAGTGTGATGGAATCCACTGCAGCTTGATCCTCAGACATGGGATGTCCTCAATTTCTTTTCATAGCCTTGGTAGTTTGCCGGAAGTGATTGCCTGCCGTACTAACATGGCATCTGTTAGGAATACTACTTGGCTTTGGGGGTCTACCACATTCTTGATGATGTTTGCTGCATGTATTAGAGCCTCCGTCTCTGCCCTGTAGTTTGTACAATGTCTCCCTGTTGGGACTGCCTCTGCTTGTCATGATGATGATGAGATGTTTCAAGATCTGTCAGTGCGACTAAGACTTTTCGCTTTTTCCCTAACTCCTCAGAAGCTCCCCGTGGCGGTGCCACTGACTGAAGTGTCTTTAGGTCATTCCCTACGGGGGGGGGGGACATTAACATGTTCGTATGCACAGTAGAATTGTAAATGGGCTGATTTATCAATGTCTTGCTCATACTGTGTCGGAACAAAATAGGAGGAACTGCTGCTTTTTCTTTCTTAATCCTTACTATCGTCTTTTGTCCTCTACTTCTTTTGCATGTTTGTCACTCTCTTGTGACCCGCTATTTCCGGGGTGCCTTGATAGTCGAAGCAGACTTTGTTTTGTTGAAGCTAGAGAGGTGAGCAGAGTAAGCCTGATTCCCTGTAAGGACTACTCTGTTGACATCCACCCCTTGGCGCTCATGTGACCTTATGCAGTTTTGGCGTCGGTGGCCAAGTGGTTAGGCTCTCGGACTCGCAACCGTAAGGTCGTGGGTTAGAATCTCGTCAGGGGCCCGACGTTGTGTCCTTGGGAAAGGCACTTTACACAAATTTTCCTCACTTCACCCAGATGGAAATGGGTACCCGGCTATAGACAGTGAACGATCTTGTCAGTTTGATAGTGTTTGAGCGCTTGAAATCTACAGCTTGCATTGTATGCTTCCGTGGAAGCCGAGAATGTTTCTGAGTGTTCTCAGAGGGTCTGCTGGGGTAATAATAGTTGTAAAGCGCATAGAGCATGCTCTTGAGCATGGATATGTTGTTGTTGTTGTTAGCGATCCAGTAGCATCTGAGCGTTAACTCTTCTGGCATCGCACTATATAAATGCAATTATTATTATTGTAAGCGCTGTAAAAAGTCTACTACAACTACATTTCTAACTACATCTCTTTTGTCTAACTCCTCAGACGAGTTTTCTGACGGTGGTCGACCCGTTTGTACTGTCCCACAACGTGACCAAGAACGTCAACGAGAGGACCAGGGAGCGGCTTATCTGGCAGATCCACAGGGCGCGGGACCTCCTCACACAGTCGCCAGGCGCTGGAGTCGACGACAGGAGCAAACCCTGGGGGCTGGCAGGTGAGGGGGGGCACGGGTGTGTGGCATGGTGAGGGGTGGCATGTGAGGGGGTGAGGGGTGGCATGTGAGGGGGTGAGGGGGCACGGGCGTGTGGTATGAGGGGGTGGGGGAGTGAGGGTGTGTAGGGGTGAGGGGACTTTTCGCTGTCGCGTTCTTGTGTTTGGAAAATGTTTCTTGAGCCTCTCGATCTGTCTGCGGGGATGTTGCATCATTCTCAGGCTGGGCTGGCCCTGACAGGCAGGGTTGTAGTCCACCCCTTGGAGTGATTTATATTGTGTGAAAGGGGCGTAAAACACCGACATGTTGTCATTTGTAAATTTGGAAAGAGAGTCACAACGTTCTTTACTGGCCTGGGAGTGATGAAAGTCACAGATGGAACACACTTCTCCTGGCGATGTAGGAGTTTTGGACAAAAGGAGACTGGTGACAATTGTGTAATGACAGTGTGTGATGACGGTGACAATTATATAAATGTCATTTATCATTATTTTATTAATGATGGTGACAATTATATAAATGTCATTTATTATTATAATAATAATAATAAATAGCATTTATACTGCGCATTTCCATTTTCTAAAAAATGCTCAATGCGCATTACATAGAAAAAGACATAACGTATTAAAAATTAATCGACAAGTGCGTACATAAAACAACGTATTATACATATAATATAAATGCATATGTGTAAAATTCTATATGAGAAAAATAGTATATTACTAATGGCAGTGGCAATTATATAAATGTCATTTATCATTATTTTATTAATGACGGTGACAAATTATTATTATTATTATGCCATTTATTGTTATTATTATTAATTATGGTGACAATTATATAAATGTCATTTATTGTTATTATTATTAATGATGGTGACAATTTTATAAATGTCATTTTTTGTTATTATTATTAATGATGGTGACAATTTTATAATGTCATTTATTATTATTTTTTATAACGGTGACAATTATATTAAAGTCCTTTATTATTATTTTTATAACGGTGACAATTATATAAAAGTCATTTATGATTATTTTTAATGACGGTGACTATTATATAAAAGTCATTTATGATTATTTTTAATGGCGGTGACAATTATATAAAAGTCATTTATGGTTATTTTTAATGACGGTGACAATTATATAAAAGTCATTTATGATTATTTTTAATGACGGTGACAATTTTGGAATGACTGTGACAGGGTTGTATTATGATGGTGATAGTCGTGTAATGACAGTTGACTTTCCTGG